GGGCGCGAGGGGGGCTGTGAAGAGGGGGGAGAGAGAGAGAGAGAGAGAGAGAGAGAGAGAGAGAGAGAGAGAGAGAAGGATCAGGCCCCCCTTGCCAATGAGAAGAGGGGGAAACCCCGCTTGGTCAAGTTTAGGTTCAAGGCTAGAGATGGGGGTATTCATATACCAAGACGGATACTGTATCCCCCATCTCTATTCAAAGCCATCCTATCTTCCAGAGAAAGAAAAGAGAGAGAGAGACTACCTCTCTAGCAACTTAGATCTAAAGAAGTCAAATTTAAGAAATGTAGATCAACCCATTTCGTAAACTCATGCGAGTCAGCAGGAGGCTCAAATCCTGGGATGGCTTTCTATGAACAGGGAAGGACACTTTTGAAAACTTGATTGGATGGTTGTATGGATGACTTTGGGTGATGAGATTTTTGTTTTTTTTAAATCTGGTGCTTAAAGGCTATTCCTTCCAGGAGTAAAAGTATTTGTCTCCTGGGAAGAAAATAATTCAGAAGTGATGTCCAACCCATGAGATTTCCTTGTTAGCCCTAGAGTAACCAGTTCATCGGTTGATGTGTCTCTTACCAGGTGTGGGGGGTGTATAGTTACTGGGGAATTCTGGGTGGTGTAAGCCAGGGGTGGACCTATATTTTGGGGGCCCTGAAGCTTGTATTGTTAGGGTGGAGGGCTTTGAAACATGCAAAAAGGTCACTGCTGTTATCTTCTTCAATGTTCTAGGATAGATTACCACTAATTTTTTTAAAATGTGGGCTAAAGTCTCTACTGGAGCCTCTCTAACATTACGACCCCTGAAGCTTAATCTTCATTGGTCTCATAGTAGATCCACCCCAGGTTGTAATCCAGAAGCAAACTTCCCAGCTATGAAAAGAGAAAATGCTAGTTTTGCAAAGTCTCCAGTCTTGGACGTTTAGAAAGGTAAGCTGCTATGAGAATCATTCAGATGAAGAATTAAAATGTTTTCCCCATTAAGGACTGCCCTTAGCAGGAGAGAAGGAAGTGTATGCCACTTTCTCCCTAGATTTAAGACCCAAGCTATGTTCACGGAGGAATTTGTATGCCTCCTTACTGATCTGTCCCCTCTCTCTTACCCCTAACCCCTTCCACCCTCCAGTCGGTCAACCAGATTAGATCTGCCTCAGTTGTTTATTGTTCCTAGATCGATCGCCTAACCAGGGTTTCTTCACGGTCTCATAAATGACAGATTTCAAACTCTGCCTCATCCACAAACAATCCTTGCGAAGAAGCAGCGTGGGGATCCATCGTTTGACAGGTTTCTCGGTAAACATGGCAGAAAGGTTAATATTTTGTTCTGTTTAGGATTGCAGGGATGATAAACAGAACCAAGTATAAGTATTCACTTTTCGGCCATGTTGACCAGCCCCATAGCTTCTAACCCATCCTGTGTCTGCTCATGGTACAGGATTCTTGGAGTTTGGAGGCACCTCGGAGACCTTGGTTGGGAGCAGTTCAGATTTTGGAAGGCTATATAGGAGATGAAGAGTTGTGCCTGCAAATCCCACCATTCCAGAGAGAAAACAACCAGTTGCAAAGCTTACTCTGTGGAGGAAAAAAGGGGGGGCACATTTTAAACAACAGGAATTGGGAGATTTGCACTAGAAGTCCTAATAATACGCATTGGGGGGTGATGGCTCTCCTTTTTTTTTTCTTTTCCAAATTCCTTCCTCGTAATCAATTTTTTTCCAAGAAATTTTTGGCCCAACCTGTGGTTGCCATATTCTACCATGAGTAAGACAAAGTACGTGTAACAGAATAAACCGCATATTCTTCCTGTCTGCCTCGGCCCTCACTTCCTTCCCCCTTCCTCGGTTATCTCTCCTCTGCTGGACTATCAATTGTAAGTTGCATGGGGCAGGGACCTGTAAAATCACCATGCACGTTGATGGCACTATATTGAGAATCAATGTGGTGGTGATGATGAACGCTTAAGGAAAGAGTGGCTTTGTGGAAGCTGTCCACCAGTGTGGATGGGTTTGGGGGAGGTCTTGATGGTCGAAGATTTGTTCCATGCTAAGGAAGGCTTTGGGACGGGGAAGGGAGATGGTGGCAGAGGAGTATCACCATTTCTGTCTCCTTACCTTGAGCACTCTCAGCGCTTGTCCGGCACGGGCTCCTGGCGGGCCAAGGTTCACTTGGGCACACTGGGCGGCTGGGAAGTGCATGGTGTAAGGGGGGCGCCCGCCTCCCCGTCCAGCATCTCCGCCTCGCGGCTCCTCCTTCACGGCAACAGGCCGTGGGTCAAAAGGTCCGAGGGCCTTGCGCTCCCCTCCGTAGGATAGGAAGGGGTACGGCTCCATGGGGAAGTAGCCGGAGAAGGGCCCCCCCTTGGGACCCCTCTGCTGAGCCCCTTGAAGCATTTCCGAGAGCAGCTGCTCGTCGCCAATGTAGGAGGCCAGCTCCGATTCGCAGAGGGGCGCCAGGTCATTGTGGCCGCTGGGCCTCACGGGGGGCATGTCTGGGGCTTGGTAGTGCCTCTCGCTCTCGAAATACCCTGCTTGGGACATGGTGGAGAGCTCCAAACTCCGCTTGCCTGACTGTTTTCCTCTTTGCTGCCGCCCCAGGGCACCTGCTTCTTGCCAGTCCGTATTTTAACACTTCTCCCGCTGTGTCTTTTGGTCCTCGATTCCTTCTTCCTTGATGCTCTGGCTCAGGACAAGTCTTCTTGTCCTCTCCAGCTGGTTTCGTTCTTCCTTTCCTTTCGGATGTGGCTCCTTCTTTTCCAAGTCGTTTTCCTTGAATTTTCCTTCCTTTGCTGCCTTGTCTCTCTGTCTCAGGTTGTCCAGTTTTGGGGCTGTGTTTTTCCCCCCCTCCCAACCCACACTTTTTATCTACCCCCTTTTCATTCCTCTCCTCCTCCTGGCTCCCTTCTACCCTTTGCGCTTTCTTCTCTCCGTCTCTCTGCAGTCTTGTTCCCTCTTTCTCTGGGTCTTGTTCCTTCCCTCCTTTCTCTCCCTCCCCCCTTCCTTCCTCTTTCTGAGGTGTACTGTGGCTCCTGGCAGTAGTAGTTGAACCTCTTTCACCCTGCGGTTCTTCCCAGCACTGTTTTTCGTGAAAAGAATGTCCACTCTAACCCTGTGACAGCCCATCTTTTCAAAAGATTTCTCTTTCAGCGTAAGCCAGAGCCTCTCTATTCAAGAGCAGCTATCGCCTTAGATTAAATCTCGAAATATACATGCAATTTTGGAAGGAGCCCTCCAGCATCAGGCAAAAGGCCCACTGTGGGACCCAGGCAATAGCCATCTCCCCCTGCCTCCCCCTGCAGCAACCCACAAAGTACCTTAGAAGGTTCACCTTCTTGACCACGGTAATATCCAGAGTCAAGACAGGTATAATGACACCCAACTACTAGTGGGAGAAGAACATTTCATTTCATCTACTGCCCATCTACAAAGGCCGCTTTGGGCACTTTATGACAATAAGATTAGGCCTGGCAGCCAAGAGGAAATTCCACATATGAACTGTGCCGTGTGTGAAACAGAACTTGTGTGTGCATATTCTGAATTTGTAGTCCTGAATTTCCATGGAACGATTCCATGTTCCTCTGTTAGAAGACTTGAGGAGAAAGCTTATTCTGCCTGCCTTCTTCAGACCATGTATCATTGTATAAACCTCAATCACATTCCCTTGACACATCTTTTTCCTGCAATTTAAGAGAACTCGTGGACTTACATGTATGCATAACAACTAAATCTGCATCAATCTATCCCCTTTCCTGCCAGCACCACCATAAACAAATTAAATAACAACAGCTTTCCTGCCCCTTGATGCCACCCATAACAGGTACCCAAGGCTGCAATTATATAGAACTTGGAAGTAATTAATTACAACTAATGCAGTTACCTTAATTGATTACTTTTTTCATAACAAGCAATGCAACTGATAGTTGCACTTCTTTTTAGGGGTAAGGAGTAACCTAAGTCACAGGCGTGTAATGAAAATGTACTTTTAAAGAGCATTTTAAGGCTTTTAGAAACAGTTTGAAATGAATTTTGTAGGGTTCATGCCGTTCTTATCCATCCTATGTGGCAAAGGGGCTTCCCCCCTGCCTTTTGCATTTTATTAAATATTTGCATAATCTAGGATCAGAATTCATAATTAGAAGGAACCAGCAGCTCCCCCCCCGCCTGTAGATAAAAGGTTATGACCTCTATTTAATATTAGGCCTGACCCCTGCTTCTTACTATTTTTGGATGTTGTTGAGCTAAGTTAACTAGACAAGAATGAGCGACCTTATGTTTGTGGTGGGGTAAGACAAGCTACTGCTCATTTCTGTCCCCGGGTAACCACCTCAGTTGACGAGGTTTGCTACTTTCCTGGCACATTTTGCTGGGGCCTGTAAAACAAATTTAAGTCTTCTTACATTTAAAAAAAAATTCCAGAGATCTTGTTGGAAAGTGAAACCATTTATGTGTTGTCTAGCAGTGCCTTTTCGAACCACCAGGCAGCACCCTGAAGCCAGAGATGTGTAACAGCGCACATCCTGTATGTGAACTGAAAACACCAAAGGCTCATTTATTATGTCAGACTGGACTGGATGCTGGGCAACAGGTAAGGAGAACTACACACTCAAAACCTCAGTCAGCCACAAAACTCACAGGGCAACCTTGGACTGAGGTACCGAAAACCCTATCCACAAGTTTGTTGGGAGAATAAAATGGGAGAAACAGGATGGAAAAACCACTCGTGTTTTCTTGGAGTTTTTGGAGAAAGGACTGGATAGCAGCAAAATAAAGAAGTGGAGAGCAATGATTAAAAGGTCCTTCCTGGGTTTGGTCTTGGGTATGATGCGCTAACTGAGGCTTGGGAGGGGGGGGTGCCATCCCTCCGATTCAGTTATACTGCATCCCCTCTACCCTGAGTTCCATTCAGATATCTGTGGGGAGATTATGGGAGTGGTGACTATTTTGGTGCAGAGCAAAATGACATTTCTGCACAAATCCCACCCCTGTGCGGGGCTTGTTATTTGGGGATCGCTAGCAGATTGAGTCAGAGGTACCTCCCAGAGCACCCTTTGGTAGAATGAACCTTCAGCAAAAGACTCTGTGCTGAGGGTGAGCAGAACCTCTGAGAGTTAAAAACTACTGCCTTTTCTCGGTGGCTGCACACACACACACACACACACACGTGTGTGTGTGTGTGTGTGTGTGCAG